AAAGAAAGAAAGAAAGAAAGAAAGAAAGAAAGAAAGAAAGAAAGAAAAAAGTATAGATTAAGTGTAAATATATAACTACTATTTCATCATCATCATTGATCAAATAGAAGATGGAGAGGGGACCAGCAGTTAGTGTAATGACTATGTCGCTGAACTCCCATGTAGTCGACTGTGGTTCACGCCCTGGACCCGGTGGCTTAAAACTCACGCCGGGCGCGTGTGCGTGCGTGCCCAAGATCCCGAGAGGAGAATGGAGGAGAAGGGATTGCGGCATGGCCACCCCCCTGGGGGGTGATTTCTCACTTTCTGTCTCTCTGTCTCTCTCTGTCTGGCGAGCGTACGCGCCCTATAGCAAAAAACCTCTCCAAAAAAAGAAAAAGAAGATGGAGATAAATTCACAGCATAGGAATGTAATCCTGGTCATCCTAAATCCTATAGAAGGTAGATTACTTCATCATTAGCAAAAATTAAAGTCACTGCCTTTTGAGGACAAGATTTAATGTTGGTATTACTAAACATACTTCTCATTCAAAATACAACTTTGATAATACAGTCCATATGATAGAATTCCTTCTGTAAACACTTTCAAAGAGGAAATATCTGTGCCCAATATCTGCAGTCAGTGTTTAGAACTAGAGCATAAGATACTTTAGCTGAGAAACCTATAATAATGGGTCCTATGTTTAACCCCCAGATATTTCATTAGTTTCTAAATGGCATTACAAATGCCATTTTCTTCATGCTAATTTTTGACTTTCAGAATTAACAGGCAGGTGTTACTAATGGTGCATATAATTTACAAAATTAGTGGGTTCTTTTCATTAAGATACAGTTTTGTATTATCATAAAGGACAAGGGCATTTGGGTTTAAATGACTCCACAGTTTTCCAGTAGGAGAGAACAATGGTTTAGGCATTGTCTGGAAATCTAGTTGGCCACTGCAGTGGGAATTCACCGATTTTGCCCAATAATGCCAACGTACTTGACTTTACCCATGAATAATATGAATATGTAGGTTTTCTAAATAAGAGTTCCAATGACAGAAAGATTCATTTTATCTGAAATTAATCATAATTGTAATTATTTAATCACTGGCAAATAATTACATACCATGGTCTTTCATTGTACTATTTTGTTATATATTTGTTTTGTTTTAACTCCTTTGTAGGTCGCTAGGCTTGGCCTAGTTTTAATATTTTTTTCTGTCCTTTCATTGTGAATTTTATTTTTAATAGCATTTCTCTACTTTAATGGGCGTTAACCATGAACAATGTTACCCAGACATATTGAACTTGGACCCTGTTCCAAGTAGCCATGCTTTCTCTTCTTTCAGGTTGCTATTGTCGCTCAATTTGATCCTGTTAGAATGATGTCAGATACAATGGCATCGAAAGCTAAGATGGGTGTTGAAATGGAAGACGAATTTATTCTTCAAAAGCCTCTCTTCACATTGAATACATACAATGAACAGCAGGTAATTATGGGAATTAGTATGATTGATTTAAAAGTCACGACAACCATAAGAAGAGTAGAGATGTGTATTTTGTGTCATAAATTGTTTTCAATATTTACATTTGAATATCATTCATATTAGCATGATTTTTTACTTCTAAATACAAGTATATAACAATTGCACAATTTTTAATATTATAAAATAGTTAAAGGCAAGTGTACAAAACAGTTTACCGAAAAGCCTAATGAATTTGTCATTGAAAATTATTTTTTAAATTTGGAAAGCTTTATAAAGTTTCATTTGTAAGTTCTGAGAGATATTAAAATGTTAACATTTAAATATTTCTCTTATATTAAGAATTTATTTTTAAATGTATACATAAATCTTATTAAATAAACAACTGATAAGACAAAGCAGAGGAACGCTTTCAGAAATGAAAATGAAGAGATCACAGTGAATTATAAAACAAAACAGTTCTAGCAGAAAAAGTGTTAGGGGGTTACTTAATCATTTCTAAGAACTTAATGTTCATTTTAGTCTGTGCCTATAACTGAGAAGGAATTTTTAAAAGATCTTTCAGATAGATGAATTGAAAGGTGGGGGGTGGAAGGAAAGACAGATGAATGAATGGATATCACTAAAATTTAAAGAAAAAGTAACTGTTAATTTTACAAATCTAAGGAGAGAAGCTAAATACTTATTTAATTTTTTAAAAATCAGGAAACTTTCTATTTTTAAATAAATCCATTATGCCTCTATTATGTGCTGCATACTTTGCTAGGGAATAAAAACATGAATAATTTACTCATTTATTCACTGAGCAAATTTTTTTTTGAGAGGTTTTTGCTATAGGGCACATGTGCTCGCCAGAAAGAGAAAGACAGAGAGACAGAAGGCGAGAAATGACCCCACCTGGGGTGGGGGGCAATCCCTTCTTCTCCATTCTCCTCTCGGGATCTTAAGCACACATGCACACACGCCCGGCATGAGTTTAAGCCACCAGGTCCGGGACTCGAACCGGGTCAACTACATGGGAGTCTAGCGACATAGCCATTACACTAACTTCTGGTCCCTCACTGAGAAAAAGTGTATAGAACCTCTGCTATGTTCTGGCTCTGTACATGGTACCAGGCTACTTCCTGTACAAGGCAGACTGATCCCGCTTGGAGGAAGCGAGCAGAGGCGCCTGGATGGGAAGGAAAGCAGCATGTACAGCAACAATGCATCTCGGAGAAGAGCTCCGGAATGGAGCGAGGGCAGTGAATGATAAACTCTGACTGGGGATGTCAGAGAGTGTCAGAGAGGAAAGGAGTTCTATTTTAGTAAAGGATTTTTGGCAGCAGTAACAAAATTGACTCCAGATGATTTATGATAATAACAACAACTTAAAACATGCGTCAAAGGGTGTGCATAGGGAAAGGGAGTAATTATGAGGATGCCTGGGTGGCTCCAGATACCAGCTGCTAACTGGGGAAAGAAGCGGGGCTTCAAGAAGCGAGGTGAGAAGCTGGAAAAGCCTCAGGTAGCTGAGCTAAAGAAGTCAGGGTTTTACCACAGCAGAAGGTGGGAAGAGGCCCTTCCTGGTTTGTCTTCAGTGTAAGGAAAGTGACAAGGGTACATGACAAGTGCTTCAAGAGAAGACTGCGAACGTGGGTTGGGGCCAGACTGGGAAAAGCACAGTAGGTCTGCTGTTACAGCATCGGACCTCTGCCCTTTGAGCAGACACACAACTTTGAAGCAGGTGAATTACGTATTTAGTCTTGGATAGAAAATTGATACTGATGGACATGGGGTGGGGTAAAGTCTTTTTAGGTTGGCAGAACCCTCATGAAAATGGTGGGAATGAGAGTCAGACAGGGCTGCCTGAAGCAGAACGGGATAGAGGGAAGATGATTTCAAACTAGACTGCAGATAATATTGGGAAGAGCTTACATTTTGGATTCAAATCCACATCCACTATTTATTGCCTGGGTGCACTTGTGTAAGCTATTAACATCTTTATGTCTCATTTTCATCATCTGTAAAATAATTATTTGCAAGGTCCTTGTGAGGATTAGAGATAATAAATGTCAGCTACCTAGAATATTGCCTGGCACCTCGTAGTAACTCTGTAAACTCTAATCAGTAGGTACTGCCATTAACCATGTAAGAGCACAGAGGGAAAAACAGATTTGTTTTATGAATGCCATGTAAGGAGGGAAGGTGTCTAGTACACATTTGTAAAGAATCGAAAGGCTGCCTCTGGGGAGGGGACTTGGGGAGATGGAGTTCTGGGTGGGACGGATATCTCTATTTCACTGTCCTCTATTAAAAAAACTTGAAACCTCACAACCCTAGAGCTGAGGAGTGAGGTGCATCCTGGAGATAATTTGGGAGTCAGTAGCATATGGCTTGAACATAAATCCTTGGGGAGAGATGAAGGTGACCAAGGAGAATACAAGAAGGCAGAAAAGGAGAAACCTGGGTCTAAGGCCCAAATGTGCTGTTCCTCAGACACAAATCTCTGCGTTATTCTTGACTTCATGCTCACCATTGCCCCAACCCTGTATCTGATCAGGTGCCATGTTCTACTGATTCCTCCTCTCAAGGTGTTCTGCCAATCCTTGCTCCCATTTATTACTTCACGTTCAGGCAACTATAATAGACCCCTAGCCACTTCCCTGCCCTCACCTGCTCGTTCTCTGCCACCTGAATTTATTCTGAATTTACAAGCAGATCCACCTGTGCATGCAGCTACACTGACTATACCACTTCCATACTGAAAACAGAAACAAACATAACCCCGGTGGGTCCTTAGACTCCTTGACATGGCATTCAAGCATTTTAACTTTATGACCCAGTCTGAGGAGTGTCCTTTTCCAGTGTTCCTCAGGGGTACCTGTGCCCTACCCAAACTACCCTTATCCTAAATTGACCTATTCCACCTCCTAAGTTTTCTGTGTCTCCCTTCTCCCTCTCCTTTAGAACAGCAATAAGCCAAACTTTTACATTTAGCTCAGTTGATCCTCCTTACCTGAGACCATGTTTATATTGATTTACTTCCAGGTGTCCCTGCTCAGAGCACCTGTCACATGTTGCCACAGACTGTAGTTATTTGGGTACGTTCTTACTACTCCTGTTCTTTCTGAGCTCCTTCAAGGAGGGGGCTGCTTTCCATACCCTATTATCTCATCCCCTAGAGGGACTTCAAGTCCATGGACAATGCCTCATTAGGCAAAATCCAAATGTGGCCACCTTATTACTGCAAACAGTGTGTGTTACCATTTAATATTCATAGAAGGAGGGGAAGAGAAATGAGATCCAATCAGCTGTAAATGAAAACAGAAATTGAACTACTCACATGTCCATTCCCACTTAGAATCAGATGGAGACCTTTTCTAGTTCTGTTTGAAATAGAAATCCATCCTTGGAAGAAAAGTTCTATTGATTTTCTTTTTCAAATAGTGACCATGTGTTTAAAATTAATTTACATGTTGTAAAATTGTGGAGAAATGAAAATGTCTGTTTAAAGACAGATGCATAAGGTTGTGGTTAGATTTATTTTAATTAGTGTTTGTCTTATTTTATAATTCCTGCCAGTAATAAATAATGAATCAATGGTAGTACTGAAAATAAGCTTCTTTTACTTTATCTTTTAATTATTTTAAAGTGTTATATTTTTACTTTTCTAGTACACAATATTCCACACATTCTATGTTAGAAACCACTAATGTACTGGAAGGTGATATTGTCAAAACAGATTTGGACATTTTCAATAAAAATAACCAGCCTAGGGGCCAGCAGGTGACATGGTGGTAAAGGCACTGACCCCCACATGGCCAACTATAGTTCTATTCCTAGACCTGGCAGCCTGGGACGCATGCCAGGTGTAGGACCCATGCCAGGTGTAGGACCCATGCCAGGTACATGTGTGTGCATTCCCAGAATCCCAGGGGGAGAATGGAGTAGAAGAGATTGCAGTGTGCCATCTCCTCTGGGGGGAAGGTGATTTCTCACTTTGCTTCTCTCTGTCTCTTTCCAGTGAACCTACAATCCTAATAACAAAAAGCTAAAAAAAAAAAAAATTAAAAAAAGGAAATAAAAAGTAACTAACCTATAGTCACTGTACTCACAAAGTTTGTTGTTACCTTGTCACCTACCCAGCAAAAACAAATTATGCAGTTTGGGAAAATATAGAACTAAATGATAAATTTTATTTTTTTCTTACAATGAATTGTTATCTATTTAAATTGCATTTTGTTTCTACAGATAATTTCTGACCCTAGACTTCGCTTTGAGTTAGCACTTCGTGAAGCTGGACTTCATAAAACATTTTATGCCAAAGAGATACTACCAAAAATCAGTCCTCAGAAACCTCCAAGAAAGGACATGGAGTCTACTGTATTTAAAATCTAGAGGTCATTTTCAAATCCTATTGTCTGTAAATAAGATTTTTTTCCTTGAAAAATACTTTCTAAAATTTTAAAAATATCAAACAGAGTTCATAGTATCTATTAAAAAGACTTTGCTCTTTTTATGGTTCTTTGAATTTTATGTTCTTCAACTTATATTTAATAGTACTAAATACCTCAAGATATGGAACTTAATTATGGCACATCTGGTGCATATATTAACATTAATATACAGCATTTTAGAAGTTGTGTTATCCCATAAAAAAGCACAAAAAACAACCCATTTGCAAGGATTATAAATTATGTAGCTGCTACCTGCTAATGTTCATTTTTGTTTGTTATTTCAGAATTTGACTTTTTAATTATAGAAGCTTCATCATCATCATTAATGCTTCTATTATTGCTTGATTATTATAAGAGAAGACTCAACTTTTCTCTAAATTTAGAAGCCAATTTGGTATACCGTGTTTACTGCAAACCAGTCATTCAAACAATTTCATTTTGCAAATTAGCCCTTAAGAATAAATTAGAAATCAGAACTAGCATTTCAAGCATGGGAATATCTGTTTTGGTTTGCTGGGAGAAAAAAATATATTTATATGCTTGTTTAGAAGAAATATTGAAATTTTATAATATTTGGTATGTTGTCAAAAGTTCCAAACTAGGGCCAGCTGGTGACGTGGAGGTTAAGGTGCTAGATCCCACACAGTTCAAATCCTGGACCCAGTAGCTTGAAAATCACATCAGAAACCTTTGCTTGCATGCCCAAAATCCTGAGAGGAGACTGGAGGAGAAGCAACTGAAGTATGGACATTCCCCCCAGGGTGGATATCTCACTTCATGTGTGTGTATCTCTAACAATCATACATACCCTATAACAAAAGCTTAAAAAAAAAGTCCCAAATTCCTTATTAAATAGTGGTTTTATAGGGGGGAAATACATTTCATATAAAACTCAAGTGTAAATTTTTTACTATTTTAAAAAAGTGGTTTTTCAATCAGAGTATTAAGTCAGTGTTATAAAAAGTTGCCATTGGAGTTGTCAGTCAGGTGGCATGGTGGTTAAGGGTACTACACTCCCACATGGCTGACTATGGTTCAAGTCCCAGACCTGGTGGCTTGCTTTTTCATTCTTTCTCTCTCTTCCTCTCTAGTCAAGTTGAAAATAAATAAATAAACTCCATTTTCCTCCTGGGATCTTGGGCACATCTACATTCACCTTTTGCTTCTTCTAGCAAAGAGGGCAATTTTCCTTCTATCAAGACCAGTATTTCCATGTGTATTTTGGGTTTCATCCCCTCTCAGTTCCGCAGAATTTTTCTTTTTGTATATTCTCTTTCTCTCCTATATCTTCAAGCTGTTTCTTAGTATATAAATATACTAGAATAAACCCTACCTTCATAAATAAACAAACAAACAAACAATCAAAACAAAACTCCCTTAACCCTACATTATCGCCTAGCTAGGACCACCTCCCTGCTTCTCTTCTCAAGAAACTTAGGAGCCACCTGTAGATATTGGATGTAGACATTGGATGTCTTCTCTTCTCATTCCAGCTACCGTCACTCATTTCAATTCCCTTACCTTCCATGGACACTGTTCTTACCAGTATCACTAGATGAACTATTTGGCAAACCTGATGACCACTTTCTAAGTCTCCATCTTACTGACCATGGTAGCATTTTATTTGGTTGACAACTGTCCCGGCCTGCGGGACAGTTGAACAGGTTCCCTGGGGAAGGGAGTGAGAGATGGGACAAACACACACACATACAATATGAGATGCTGATCAAGTCTTCTTCTTCCTCCGTCTTCCGTTTATTGAGGAGAAATGGCGAGTTATATACAGCTGGTGGGCACCAATTGGTAGCCCGAAATACAAATGAGATAGAACAGCATGAACCAATCATTGATGTGGGTGGATCTCTCCCATTGCCTAGAAACCCAACCACTTCTGGGGAGAACGGTTGGTCACATCATTTCTGAGAAACGGTTTGCTCAGTGAGGAAGTGAAGCCTAATGGTTTCCAAGATGGTGGATAGCTCAAGATGGCTTCCGTATGCAGTGCCCTCCACAGACAACTAACCTGTTTTAGAAGACACTCTTCTAAACTATGAATCTGCAAATAGTTGTGAAATAATTATATTAAGATGATAATGAAATAAATAGCTAATATAAAAATACAAAATATAGACATAAAAAAGATGCTCTTTGCTTTATTTTTATGACACAACCTACTTTACCTCCTGCTTCTTTAGTCATTCTTCAATCTCTTTTGCTGACTCCTCCACCTCTATTGATCCTAGATGTTGAGGTGCCCAAAGATTAGCGTTAGCTTTATGTTTTTTTAAATCACATTATAAGTCATTTTTAAATATTATACTTTTAGCTCTTAAATTATATCTTTTGAGTATCTTTTAATCTATAGACTTCCCCATCCAGTCAGTCCCCCTTTTACAATTTATTTGTTGAAGGATCAAGTAAGTCTACATGTAGAATGTCCTATGATGGATTTTGCAAACTTTATCTTCTTGGTGTAGTTAAATATGCTTCTCTGTCCTCTGTCTTTTGTGTTTGCTATAAATGTCTAGTTGAATAGAGAAGCTTTATAAGATTTATAGGATTTATATTCTTTTTGTTTTTTTCCTAATGAAGACCACTTCTTTGTGGTGTTGTGTTCTTCTGTATATATTGTCTGGTTGAGTCTCTTTTTGAAATTTTTTGCTGCTGCTATATGATAGACCAATAGCAAACATCATACTCAATGAGAAAGAGCTAAAAGCCTTCCCCCTAAAAATTGAAACAAGAGAAGGATGACCACTTTCTCCACTTCTTTTCAATGTAGTGCTAGAAGTCTTAGCCAATGCAATCAGACAAGAGAGCAAAATAAAAGGCACTCAGAGAAAAAGCTAAACTTCCCATATTTGCAGATGATATTATTATATACATAGAGAGTCCAAAGGAGTCCACAAAAAACTTCTAGAAGTGACAAATGAATTCAGTAAAGTAGCAGGACACAAAGTTATGATATAAAAATTTATAGCGTGGGACCAGTAGGTGGCGTGGTAGTTAGGGCACTCGACGCTCACATGTAGCCAACAGGGGTTCGAGTCCTGGACCTGGTGGCTTGCTTTCTCACTTCCTTTCTCTCGCACTCTCACCCTCTGTCTCTCTCTGGTCAAATTAAAAATCAATCAATGAATAAATAAATAATAAAATAGTTATTAAAAAAAATTTATAGCATTACTCTATACATCAACAAGGAACAGACCAAGACAGAATTGAAGAAAGCAATCCCATTTACAGTAGCTGAAAAATAAATAAGATACCTAAGACTAGGCCTAACCAAAGAGGTGAAAGATATCTGCAAGGAAAACTGAAAAAAGAAATTGAGTGTGATACAAAAAAAATGGAAAGACATCCTATGCTCTTGGATTGGAAGAATCAATATAATCAAAATGTTAGTTTCACTCAAGTTAATTTACATATTAAGTGTGATTTCAAGCCAATTACCTGAGACGGTCTTCACAGAAATAGAAAAAAAAGTTTTTAAATGTCTGGAATCATAGAAGACCCCATATCACCAAGGCAATACTGTGCCAAAAGAATAAAACATGTGTCATCTCATTACCTGACTTTAAACTATATTGCAAAGCAGTGATAATCAAAACAGTATGATACTGGCACAAAAATAGACACATAGAGCAACGGAACAGAATAGAGAATTCAGAAATAAACCCTCATTATACAATAGTCAACCAATCTTTAATGAAGAGTTCAAGACAATGTGGTACAGAAAAGAAAGTCTTCAGCAAATGGTACTAGAAGAACTGGATATTCACCTGCAGAAAAATGAAACAGGACCCCTACCTCTCACCATTAACAATAATAAACTCAGAATGAATCAACAACTTAAATATAAAGCCTCGAACTGCAAACCTACTAGTGGAAAACATAGGGGATACGTCTTAAGATATTGGAATAGGCAAAGATTTCTTAAATAAGATGCCTAAAGTACAGGTATCTATTTTGGGGACTATTGCCTTGATTACACCAAGCTAAAAAGTTTCCTTGGGAACCAGCAGTTAGCGTAATGGCTATGTCACTGGACTCCCACGTAGTCGACCACAGTTTGCATCCCGGACCCGGTGGCTTAAAACTCACACCGGGCGCGTGTGCGTGCGTGCCCAAGATCCCGAGAGGAGAATGGAGGAGAAGGGATTGCGGCGTGCCCATCCCCTCTGGGGGGGTGATTTCTCGCTTTCTGTCTCTCTGTCTCTCTCTGTCTGTCTGGCGAGCGCATGTGCCCTATAGCAAAAAAAAAAGAAAAAACTCTCCAAAAAAAAAAAAATGTTTCCTCACAGAAAAGGAAACAGTAACTAGAGTGAAAAGACAACCCTCAAAATGGGAGAGAATATTTGTGGGAACCAGCAGTTAGCGTAATGGCTATGTCACTGGACTCCCACGTAGTCGACCACAGTTTGCATCCCGGACCCGGTGGCTTAAAACTCACACCGGGCGCGTGTGCGTGCGTGCCCAAGATCCCGAGAGGAGAATGGAGGAGAAGGGATTGCAGCGTGACCATCTCCCCTGGGGGGTGATTTCTCGCTTTCTGTCTCTATGTCTCTCTCTGTCTGTCTGGCAAGTGCGCGCGCCCTATAGCAAAAAACCTCTCCAAAAAAAAAAAAAAGGGAAAGAATATTTGTAAATTATTCCTCAAAGAACTGATACCCAAAATATAGAGAGAACTCAAGCAGCTCACCCATTAAAAAAAATAGTAATCCATTTAAAAAACAGAAAAGAATCAAACAGACAACTCTCCAAGAAAGACTTATGAATGGCCAAGAGTTATATGAAAAAAATGTGCAAAATCTCTTGTCATAAGAGAAATGCAAGTTAAAACCAGAATGAGATACCATTTAACTCCAGTTGGAATGGCTAGGATTGAAAACATTTAAAAAATAACAGCAATAAATTCTGGCAAGGCTATGTGAAAAGGGAACCCTCTTACACT